CCCCAAAACCCCAAAACCCCAAAACCCCAAAACCCCAAAACCCCAAAACCCCTTTAGTGGGAGAAGTGGTTGAAAGGAAGGAGTTACGTGGACTTTTTGGTAATGAGAGGGGTGGTTTTTAGGTTGGAAATGTGAAATTTGCTGTGAGTGAACTTGAATGCAGAGTGGTGGTCAGGGTGGTAAGAGCGAAGTCCTACAGTCCATCCTAGAGAATGAGAGATTGTAAGTACCATTAGAAGATTTGCTAAACCCCTTCCCGAAGAATGGGAGAGAACTGTTTACATTAGCCTCTCTTGAGTTCACTACTTTCTTGAGATTAATTTTCATTTTCTTGGGCTTCTTAGCGAGAGGAGGTTTCAAAGTATTTTTTATGTAGAATTTTATCTGAAATATGTGAAGACTTTGAATGATCCTTTTGGAAGGCATTTTTCCATTCTCTAGAATGCTTAACATCAGTTTTTCATTTGTAATCTCTCAGGTTTCATTCAAAATTGAGTTGGACTTTATTAGGACTTCCTCTTGATCCAAGCTTAACCAAATGTGAAGATGAATTGAGACCTAAAACATCATAAAATACTGAAGTACCTTTAGTCTCAAAGTCGATAATAGTGAAGTTGTTATTACTGAGTCTGCTCTTTCTCCTTTTCTGCACCAGTTGCATCACCTTATCATCTGGACGGGCTTCCAAATCTACTTTGGAATCCTTCAGGACTGTATTTTTAAAGATTTTCCGTTCTTTTACACTTTCTTTAAACTTTTTATCCCATTTCTGGAGATCATCATCATAAAAGCTAGGAGGATTTGGTACAGTAGTCTCAAGAGGTTTAGACTTTTTCTTTGGTAACTTCCCAGTATTACAGCTCTGGGACCTATCTCTCAAAGTTGAGAGCCATGGACCATCAAAAAGTGAGAACTTATCCTCCATTGTCAAAGGACTATTATCTCTTTTGTACTGTACACTTCCTTCATGGTTAAAATATTTTGTCTTTAAGATCTTATGCTTCGGCTTCTTCATTAATCTTCTTAAATGAAATGTAGTCTTAGGTCTGTTCTTAAAACTAGCGGATTTCTAAAGGAATGTTTACAATGTGTTTTATAGGTAAATTCATGAATTTCTCCTCTAAAAGGGAACTTACTCCAGATGTAGTGAAAATAAAGGATTTCATAGTTCCAGTGAACCTATCTTCAGAGGAATGCATGCCTGGCTTTAATGTTCCTCCATAGGTATTGCTGAATGTAGCATTGTAATCAGTTGCCATTTTATTTTTGTAGATTAAAATGGGGTTTTGGGGTTTTGGGGTTTTGGGG